CATGTCTCATAAGATTATCTTATATATTAAAGTTTAAATAGGTAAAATCATATTATGTTGTATACATACATACATATATACTTATTCGAACACAACTGCCTGTAATTGTGTGTATAATTACAATCATAATAACAATAATTAAGTAATATTACTTTGAAAGAATTTATAGTTAAAATATACATGATATACAGGTCGCATCAAATGCATGCACAATGAATGTACTTATTAATATGATGGAAATTGGAATCTATAACTAAGTACATCAGGACTGTACTTCAAAAAAAAAAATACCAAATTAAGAAAAATGTTAACAAAATAACTGTTAACCCCGTTCATAGCCTATTTTTTATCTATATAAAAGTTACTAATTGAATTAAAACCCGCTTCCCTTAAGTCAATCAAAAACATTTTGACTTGAAATATAATAGCTAAACGTTTTTTAAGGCTGTCGAGCTGACAAAAGCACAGTTTGAATTTCGAGATGATTTTAAGTCGAGTACTCAAACGGCATATATGTAAATGATGCGCTCTTTTGTAGGCACAATTAAAAAAAAAAACTGATATGGACCATTACACACAACTGAGCGCAAAATGTATTTTTTTGGTGAAAGTATCCTACAAAACAGTCTGAAATTTTTTACCATCACATAATCTTCCTTATATAAATATCAGCTGCTGACTGAATTATATAAGAAGTGTTACAATGTAACAAAACGAACTATACAAACATATTATTTATGTATGTGTATGTACGTAAAAATATTTTGGTTTTAAAAATTATTAAGATTTACTTTTGAACATGTATATATATATATACATATGTACATACAACCATTTAATAATTATTCATATTTTTAAACTTCATCTTCTCCTCCTCCCCCTCATTTTTTTTTTTTTGAAAAATGCTAATTTTTTTCTTTTAAATTTTAATTTATTATTTAAACAATTTAATTAACAGTTTAATATTTCTAAGAATTCTTAGATCATTCATGTTCACTCTTTAAAAATTAAATTTTTTAATTTACAGTCGAATCCATAGCTATGTTTCGTAATCGCGTTAAGGCTAAACTCCTTTATTATAAAGTACAAGTTAAAAAACTAAAATCTAACATTACAGTTTTCATATGAATTATATTTTAATATAATCAGTAACAACTTGTTTATATGTATGTGCATAAGAAAATAAACCAAATGTAAAAATAAAAAATTATAGTTTGTACGATGGTGGTTATAAGCAAATTCGACTGTAAATATCTTTTGATTATTATAACAGGAAAAAATAAAGAAAAGAGTAAAAGAAAAAAACACATCTGATGGCATAATATAATAAATTGATTAAGGTTTTTTGAAAGACCACATTTAAATTTTAACAATAGTTACATACTTACATACCATATGTTAAATAAATTTGTAACCATATTCATTTTGCAAAACGATGATGCTTTTATTTTAAATAACACATTTTTTACACATTTCGTGAAAATTTTGTGAGATATTGACTTTGGTATGGAGTTTTTAATTACTTGAAGTAGTCATCTGAGGTATTTCATGTATATATGTTTATTAGTAATCAGTGTAAAATTCTCTGTTTATTTCATGAAATATCCGTCCGCTCGTTCGATCGCAAAATGATAACTCAAAAACGATAACACCAATACCACTTTTAAAAATTACTTGTTTTCTGTCAAGGACGGACCCTACATTTTAATTAAATCAATTCGGGAAATGGATTCGCGTAACTGTTATACAACAATATGAAAACTATAATTTTAAATATTTCAGAAACATGATTTGGTATACTCACAGGTTGTAAAGGTGCAAGGGTATATAATTCAGTCAATTTTCTCAGTTAGACTGAAGTGTTTTTAATATATCACTTATCAGCTTAAATTAGTGAATTTAATAGTTAATTGTACGAAATCTTGATTGTTTTAAAATAAAACAGAGAGAAAGACAGACAGACAAAATTAACGAAAAACAGTTTATATAAGTATTTGAAATTTGTTTTCACCGAAAGCAAAATTATATTTTTTAATGAGTTATAAATATCAATAAATTTAATTTAATTTTTTTACAGAACAGAAAATTATTACTACTATTATTTTTAATGATTTTTTATTAATGTAAATTATTAATTTTTATGGATAATTTTTCTCTTACCAATACTTTGTAAAAAAAAAATATTAATTTTTGGTGTAAAGCAGTGTAAAGACTGAATTTTTGTAATACAAGATCAATAATTTGGGAAGCGTTGTGAAGGAAAAATTATTTTCTCTATATATAAAGGTTCGTTGACCCGATCGTATTTTACTTATAATTATCTTACGCAAATAAGTTCCCTGACTAATCCCAAAAAAAAAAAATGTGCATATAATAAAGACCTATGCATATAAGAAATGATTTATTGTTGACTTGCAGGGTATACGCAGGGTATGTTTTACAATTCAGCTCGATTTTACTGCTACGAATTCGGAATTTATCAGAATATTGTACCAATTATTTATGATGTTAAAAATTTCAATATCATTACATGTTTTAGGGGCAGTGTTGAAACGCACAGAGATTAATATAGAGTAAATAGCCCATATCATGTCTTATTTTGGAATATCCAACTATATAATGAATATATTTCTTTGCAACAGCTTTAATATTTTTATTTCAATAAAATATCTATTATATAGTTTCTAATAAAATTGCTGGCGCAAAATGTATACGATTTATTAAATTGCACTTAAAAAATTTTGAAGGACAAAATATTCATACTTAATTAAAAATTGTGAAAAATTTTGATAATTAGTTTTATGATTTTAAAAAAATTCTAAAATAAAATAACATTTATTTCACAGTTATGGATTCAATTAAAAACGATGATTCATGGACTTGACGTGACGGTGTTAAGTTTAGTACTATATAGTAAGAGACTATTACAAGAATATTTTTATAAGTTCACAATTAATGAATATACAATTATTATTGATTTTAATCATCATATCACCTCGCCCTGAAAATCTTCTTTTCTTTATTTTTTTATTTTTATTTGTTTTTCTTGTTTTTTGTATAGTTTTACCGCGAGTTTGATATTAAATTTCATTTTATTTTTATTTCTATTTAAAAAATATATATATATATATACATATATATTGTTTTTATTTATGGAAAATTTTTTTCCCACACAATTCAATATGTTCTTATGCCATCAATAGAAAAATGAAATTAGAAAGATAAATAGCCATCAGCCTTTGAGGAAAAAAAAAAAACCAAAAAAAAAAAAAGAAACATAAGTATATAGACAGAGGTGAATTACAAAGATCAAACGGATGTCTTGGTTGCATGAGAAAGATTAAAATTGTGTTCGTGGTTATGCCATCTCTTCTGTATGTACATATACATATAGCTTATGTTATCTTATTATAAATTTCATTTGTTTTTTACAAGTAACCTTCCTGTAGGCAGTCTATGTGGAATTGATCCATATATAGTATTTATAATTAAATATTTATCTGGATTTATTCTATTACCCTTAAAAAAATTCAAGAATCATTGTAATAGTGAGTTTCGATATCAAAACTGTCTTTAGAGAAATATGACACTATATAGACTTTTAGAGGCGGCTATTTATTTATTAATAATAAACATATTTCTTAATTTGAACACAAAGTTATCAAAACTATATAACACCAAATCTGGTAATTTTGAAAAAAAATTGCATACTTTTAGGTTTTTGAATGTTTTCATATTTTTTTTTGGTTTTCGTTAATATTGAATACAATATCAATTATTACGTAAGTACCTACTTCTAATGTCTATCTTCTTATTTTATAAAAATAAATAGCCTTCAAATATTTTCATTGCAATTTCACATTTTATAGTCATTTTAATATTTTTATTATTTTTATTTAGTTTGTTATTTCAATGAATTTTTAATGATGAACGAATCGATTTTATTGTATATATAGTGGTGGCTATTACGAAATAAAAGTATGGAAAACAAAGAAAAAAGAATACATATGATATATAAATATATACATACATATATGTGTGTACACACTCTACAATGTATTTTCATTATTATCATTAAGTAAAATGTATATGTACGATCTTGTTATCGTTATATATAACTAATGTAATATATAGAATTAATAAACCATTGTGTTATATATACTATCGTATAGTAATATAATTAAACAGGGAACTTTATAAACTTATATTTTCACAAGTTTAGAATTTACTAAGATTCTTATATAAAGTGCTTGTTGCTCCGTGATACTGCTGAAGATATGAATGTATATATGTACTTCCAAAAAAGCTAAAAAAAAGGTAACCAAATTCTATTTAAAATTTCCTATAGCTCAGTGTTCTTGAGAATGTTCAGTGGAATGTTCAGTGATTCTTGACAGTGATGAGAGATCGCGTCATACAAATCTTCTATACAATCAAGATCGCGCGTTTTGTTCTGAGAGATGATAAGCATCTGACATATGGCCCCGTGACACTGATTTCGTTAACATCCTGTATATAGAAATATTTGAAAATTTTCTTGAAATGTAAATGAATTTAGAAAAAAAACAAAAAACTATGAAGCCATCTGTTAATTTTGATATACATTGAACTTTATAAAAGAAATATAGTTTGAAAATATTATATATCTTGAAATAACTGTAATAAGAGTTGAATGTTAAAACACAAAATTTGAAATGAGGAAAGAAACGACAAAGTTACTGAGGAGCACCTTTTTGTTTTAATCATAAGCCCGCAGTTAATAAGCAATTAATCACTGTAATAAAATAATCAAGCTTGTCACAATAAAACAGTTGTTCTGATTTTACATATAAAAAAAAATAGCCCAAATTATTCATTTATTAGATTAGATCGCAATAAAAAAAATTTTGACGTTCGATTATTTTTGGATTTTTTTGAATTAAAAATTTAATTAAAACAAGGAAAACACTTTTAAACTAAAAAATTATTTTTTAATTTTGTTATTTTTCAAATATAAAAAGATTGCTGTTGCTAATTGTCAAAGAGGTTCACCATTTAGAAATCAATTAATACAACGGAATATAATTGATGGCAATAATGAAAATAATGAGCATTTACATATTGAAATGATTGATGTTAAATGCGATGGTGAAGCTCATATGACTGTCACTGTAAATTTTGAAGAGCCATTTAACGGTTTAATATACAGTCAAGGTTATTTCAAAGACCCAAAATGTAGGTAAGTATTATTATTTCTATTATAATGTATGTATAAAGAATTGAGATTTGCTTAAAATTAATTAATCATATAACAAAAAAGAAAAAGAATGTAATTATAATCAGTTATTAATATTAAAACTTAACCAAGATTATTAAATTAAATTTTGAAAAATAATATAATAATGATTCCTCTCTCTCTCTCTTTTTCTCTTAAAACCTTGTCTTTTCTTCTATTATTTTTAAAATAAAATGAAAACATTGATTTTTTTTTCCATTTATCTTTGTAATTTTGGTCTTTATATAATAACGCATATAATAACTATGATCGCATATAATAGATATGTTCAAGAAGGTAGCAACAATAATATATTCACTTTTAATATACCATATAATGGATGTGGCACAAAACCATCATGTACAATTTGTTCATCTTATGATAATATTATTGTTATACAAAGTGATGAAAATATTCAAGAAAAATGGGACATCGCCAGAAAAATAACATGTAGTGGTGGACCAAAACAAGAAGAAAAACGTATTATATTTAAACCATTTATTGTTGATATGTTAGAAGTTATAAGTGTACCAACATTATCTGGAAATATCGAATGTTGGATGGATATTCAACAAGGTTCTTATCCAAATATATATCCAATAACAAATATTATAAAAATTGGTGAAATATTAACCGTATTAATATATTTGCGTGACCCAAACAAGGAATATGATATTATTGTCAAGGATTGTTATGCATTTGACAATGATAATTTTGATGACACTAATACAAATCGCCTACAATTAAGTGATAAAAATGGATGTTCTAGGTAGAGTATTTAAAAATTGAAAATGTTTACATGAATAGTAAATATGGTTTAATAATAACAATTTTGATAAAACAATGTAAATATTTTTTTTTTATTTTTTAATTAGAAAAAAAAATGTTTTTGGGCAATGGACTAAAATTGACGAGAATACGCAATTTAATACAACAAAATTAATTTATAATACCCTAAATGCATTTAGATTTCCGGATAAATCACAAGTCTATTTAAAATGTGATATTGAATTATGTAAAGATAAATGTATAGAATATAATTGTGAAGATAATATTAATACTCAGAAATTTATATATAAAAAACCTATAAAAACAATTTCGCCAATAACAAAGATAAGTGTAATTGATACTGAGACAACTGCAATTGACATTCCAGTGACAACAAGTGATAATATAATATTATCATCATCATCAGTTCGATATAGGGGTACAAGACCATCGCAATTTAATAAAATTACTTCAGAACCATTTAAAAAATTAACAACGGAATATAATGAAAATAAAATACCATTTGGACCAATTATTGTACCCGAATTATGTGAACCAAATTCATTAGATTCAAATTGTCAACCAACAAATAATATATTATCCACACATAAACCATATGATTTAAATAAGATATGTGATCCAGACTCAAATAATATTAACTGCATTAAATCTACAACGCTACGTCCAGCAACTATTTTACAAGAAAATTGTTTACCTGGTTCAATTGATCCAAAATGTCTTACAAAATTTACCCCTTTAAATAATATTGGTAAAACAAAATGTTATAAGGGATCAAATGATCCAGAATGCTTACAAATTAAATCCACAACAGGATCTTCCTATTTACCACCATACATTTACTCAGAAAGAACTACCGAAGAACCAATAACAACAACCAATTTGAACTGTTATCCTGGATCAAGTGATCAAAGATGTTTACCTAAAACAACACTGACTCCAATATTTTTCCCTACAACAACAGTATATCCTGCTACTGTAAAAAAATCAAGTTGCTATCCTGGTTCAACCGACCCTGAATGTTTCCGGTACACTTCTACAACAGCTGTGCCTTATTTACCACCAGGATCCGATAAGTGTTACAATAATCCTAACGATCCAAATTGCAAAAAAAAATATACAACATCGCACTCCGAAACTACAAAAAAAGTGCAGTGTTATTCTGGATCGACAGATCCCAAGTGTCTTGAAACAACAACAACACGCACTACAAAACAATTCGAATGCTATCCAGGCTCTAAAAATCCAAAATGTTTTTCACAAACCCAGAGTCCATTTATCACTACCGAAAAACCAACATGCCATGAGCATAGCAAAGATCCAAGGTGCCGAACACCAACAGCATCCCGTTCTTTAACAACAACAAGAATCCCTTGCAACGAAAAATCTACCGATCCACGTTGTATGCAAAAAACAACTAAATCAATTTGTTATCCATTGTCGACCGATCCTAGTTGCCTGAAAGCCACAACAGTTCGAAAATCTACAAAAGGCCCTACATATTTGCCGCCCACTACCGCAAAACCCACGACTAATTTAAATTGCTACCCTGGTTCCACTGACCCAAGATGTTCAAAACCAAAAACATCTCCAACAATTTGCTACCAAGGTTCTGTAGATCCTAGTTGTGTCCAATCAACAACAAAATTCAATTGTTATCCTGGTTCAAATGACTATCGATGTAATCAAGTTACAACAGCTCGACCAATTTGCTACGAAGGTTCCACAGATCCTAGTTGTCCACAAAAAACAACAAAGCTCAACTGTTATCCAGGATCAACTGATCCTAGTTGTCCGAAACTAACAACAGTTCGACCGCTCTGTTATGAAGGCTCTACAGAACCAGGTTGTCCGAAACTAACAACAAAACTTAATTGTTACCCAGGATCAACTGATCCAAGGTGCCCTAAGGCAACAACACCGCGAGCGATAGTTTATTCTACATCAACAAAAGGCCCAGCGTATTTGCCTCCTACTACTAGCAAAACTATCTCAAAACTTAATTGCTTCCCAGGCTCAACTGATCCAGGGTGTCCGAAAACAACAACAGCTCGACCAATTTGCTATGAAGGTTCCACAGATCCTAGTTGTCCCCAAAAAAATACAAAATTAAATTGTTATCCAGGCTCAACAGATCCAAAATGTCCGAAGCCAACAACAGCTCGACCAATTTGTTATGAAGGTTCCACAGATCCTAGTTGTCCACAAAAAACAACAAAACTCAACTGTTATCCAGGATCAACTGATCCTAGTTGTCCGAAACCAACAACGGTTCGACCACTCTGTTATGAAGGCTCCACAGATCCGGGCTGCCCTAACCTAACAACAAAACTTAATTGTTACCCAGGATCAACTGATCCAAGATGTCTGAAACAAACAACAGCACGACCGATTTGCTACGAAGGTTCCACAGATCCTAGGTGTCCACAACAAACAACAAAACTCAAATGTTTCCCGGGATCAAGCGATCCTAGATGTCCGAAACCAACCACGTCTCGACCAATTTGTTATGAAGGTTCTACAGATCCGGGGTGCCCGAAACCGACGACACAACTCAATTGTTACCCAGGATCGACTGATCCAAGGTGTTCAAAAGGAACAACTAAAGTCAGGTGCTACCCAGGATCAACTGACCCAAGATGCCCTAAGACAACAACACCGCGAGCGACAGTTGCTTCAACACCATCAACAAAAGGTCCGACGTACTTGCCACCTACTACTATTAAAACTGTTACAAAACCTAATTGCTACCCAGGCTCAACCGATCCAAGATGTCCGAAACCAACAACAGCTCGACCAATTTGCTACGAGGGTTCTACAGATCCTAATTGTACACAAAAAACAACAAAACTCAATTGTTACCCAGGCTCAACAGACCCAAGATGCCCCAAAACAACAACACCTCGACCAATTTGCTATGAAGGTTCCACAGATCCACGTTGCCTGAAACTAACAACAAAACTCAATTGCTACCCAGGGTCAACCGATCCAAAATGTCCGAAACCGACAACAGGTCGACCAAACTGTTACGAAGGTTCCAAAGATCCAGGATGTCCGACACTAGCAACAAAACTCAATTGTTACCCAGGATCAACTGATCCAAAATGTCCAAAACCAACAACAGGTCGACCAATCTGTTATGAAGGTTCCACAGATCCGGGTTGCTCGAAACCACAAACAAAACTCAATTGTTCCCCAGGGTCAACCAATCCTAAATGTCCGAAGATAACAACATCTAGACCAATCTGTTATGAAGGTTCCACAGATGCAGGCTGCCCGAAACCACCAGCAAAACTCAATTGTTACCCAGGATCAACCAATCCAAAATGTCCGAAACCGACAACAGGTCGACCAAACTGTTATGAAGGTTCCACAGATCCGGGATGCCCGAACCCAACAACGAAACTCAATTGTTACCCAGGATCGGCTGATCCCAGGTGTCCACAAGCAACAACTAAAATTAGTTGCTACTCAGGGTCAACTGATCCAAGATGCCCGAAAACAACAACACCACGAGCGATAGTTTCTTTTACACCATCAACAAAAGGGCCACCGTATTTGCCACCTACTACTATTAAAACTACCACAAAACTTGATTGCTACCCAGGGTCAACCGATTCAAAATGTCCGAAACCAACAACAAGTCGACCAATCTGTTATGAAGGTTCCACAGATCCAGGTTGCCCGAAACCACCAACAAAACTCAATTGTTACCCAGGCTCAACGGATCCAAAATGTCCGAAACCAACAACATCTCGACCAATCTGTTATGAAGGTTCCACAGATCCAGGTTGCCCGAAACCACCAACAAAACTCAATTGCTACCCAGGATCAACTGATCCAAAATGTCCGAAACCAACAACAGGTCGGCCAATCTGTTATGAAGGTTCCACTGATCCAGGTTGCCCGAAACCACCAACAAAACTCAATTGTTACCCAGGCTCAACGGATCCAAAATGTCCGAAACCAACAACATCTCGACCAATCTGTTACGAAGGTTCCACAGATCCAGGATGTCCGACACTAGCAACAAAACGCAATTGTTACCCAGGATCAACTGATCCAAAATGTCCGAAACCAACAACAGGTCGGCCAATCTGTTATGAAGGTTCCACTGATCCAGGTTGCCCGAAACCACCAACAAAACTCAATTGTTACCCAGGCTCAACGGATCCAAAATGTCCGAAACCAACAACATCTCGACCAATCTGTTATGAAGGTTCTACAGATCCGGAGTGCCCGAAACCAATGACACAACTCAATTGTTACACAGGATCGACTGATCCAAGGTGTTCAAAAGGAACAACTAAAGTCAGGTGCTACCCAGGATCAACTGATCCAAAATGCACGAAAACAACACCGCGAGCGATAGTTTCTTTTACACCATCAACAAAAGGGCCAACGTACTTGCCACCTACCACTATTAAAACTACCACAAAACTTGATTGCTACCCAGGGTCAACCGATCCAAAATGTCCGAAACCGGCAACATCTCGACCTATCTGTTACGAAGGTTCCACAGATCCTGGATGTCCGACACTAGCAACAAAACTCAATTGTTACCCAGGATCAACTGATCCAAAATGTCCGAAACCAACAACAAGTCGACCAATCTGTTATGAAGGTTCCACAGATCCAGGTTGCCCGAAACCACCAGCAAAGCTCAATTGTTACCCAGGCTCAACGGATCCAAAATGTCCGAAACCAACAACAAGTCGACCAATCTGTTATGAAGGTTCCACAGATCCAGGTTGCCCGAAACCACCAACAAAACTCAATTGTTACCCAGGCTCAACGGATCCAAAATGTCCGAAACCAACAACATCTCGACCAATCTGTTATGAAGGTTCCACCGATCCAGGTTGCCCGAAACCACCAACAAAACTCAATTGTTACCCAGGATCAACTGATCCAAAATGTCCGAAACCAACAACAATTCGACCAGTCTGTTACGAAGGTTCCACAGATCCGGGTTGCCCGAAACCACAAACAAAACTGAATTGTTACCCAGGTTCAACCGATCCAAGATGTCCGAAACCAACAACAAGTCGACCAATCTGTTATGAAGGTTCCACAGATCCAGGTTGCCCGAAACCACCAACAAAACTCAATTGTTACCCAGGTTCAACCGATCCAAGGTGTCCGAAACCAACAACAATTCGACCAGTCTGTTACGAAGGTTCCACAGATCCGGGTTGCCCGAAACCACAAACAAAACTGAATTGTTATCCAGGGTCAACCGATCCAAAATGTCCGAAGGCAACAACATCTCGACCAGTCTGTTATGAAGGTTCCACAGATCCGGGTTGCCCGAAACCACAAACAAAACTCAATTGTTACCCAGGGTCAACCGATCCAAAATGTCCGAAGGCAACAACATCTCGACCAATCTGTTATGAAGGTTCCACAGATCCGAGATGCCCGAACCCAACAACGAAACTCAATTGTTACCCAGGATCGGCTGATCCAAGGTGTACACAAACAACAACTAAAATTAGTTGCTATTCAGGGTCAACTGATCCAAGATGCCCGAAAGCAACAACACCGCGAGCGATAGTTTCTTTTACACCATCAACAAAAGGGCCAACGTACTTGCCACCTACTACTATTAAAACTACCACAAAACTTGATTGCTACCCAGGGTCAACCGATCCGAAATGTTCGAAACCAGCAACATCTCGACCAATCTGTTATGAAGGTTCCACAGATCCAGACTGCCCGAAACCACCAACAAAAGTCAATTGTTACCCAGGTTCAACCGATCCAAAATGTCCGAAGGCAACAACATCTCGACCAGTCTGTTATGAAGGTTCCACAGATCCGGGTTGCCCGAAACCACAAACAAAACTCAATTGTTACCCAGGGTCACCCGATCCAAGATGTCCGAAACCGACAACATCTCAACCAATCTGTTATGAAGGTTCCACAGATCCGAGATGCCCGAACCCAACAACGAAACTCAATTGTTCTCCAGGATCGGCTGATCCTAGGTGCCCACAAGCAACAACTAAAATTAGTTGCTACTCAGGGTCAACTGATCCAAGATGCCCGAAAACAACAACACCACGAGCGATAGTTTTTTCAACACCATCAACAAAAGGCCCAACGTACTTGCCACCTACTACTATCAAAACTACCACAAAACTTGATTGCTACCCAGGGTCAACCGATTCAAGATGTCCAAAACCAACAACATCTCCACCTATCTGTTATGAAGGTTCCACAAATCCCGGATGCGCCAAACCAACAACAAAACTCTCTTGTTCTCCAGGGTCAACCGATCCAAAATGTCCGAAACCGGCAACATCTCAACCAATCTGCTATGAAGGTTCCACAGATCCGAGATGCTCGCAACCAACAACAAAACTCAATTGTTATCCAGGGTCAACCGATCCAAAATGTCCGAAAACAACAACTTCTCGACCAATCTGTTATGAAGGTTCCAGAGATCCGAGATGCCCGCAGCCAACTACACAACTTAATTGTTACCCAGGGTCAACCGATCCAAGATGTCCGGAACCAACAACCTCTCGACCAATCTGTTATGAAGGTTCCACAGATCCGAGATGCTCGCAACCAACTACACAACTAAATTGTTACCCAGGGTCAACCGATCCAAGATGTCCACAACCAACAACTAAAGCCAGCTGTTACCCAGGATCAACTGATCAAAGATGCGCTAAAACAACAACACCACGATCGATAGTTTCTTCCACACCCTCAACAAAAGGCCCAACGTACTTACCACCTACTACTATCAAAACTACCACAAAAATTGATTGCTACCAAGGGTCAACCGATCCAAGATGTCCGAAGCCAACAACATCTCGACCAATCTGTTATGAAGGTTCCACAGATCCGAGATGCCCGCAACCAGCTACACAACTTAATTGTTACCCAGGGTCAACTGATCCAAGATGTCCGAAACCGACAATATCTCAACCAATCTGTGATGAAGGTTCCACAGATCCGAGATGCCCGCAACCAACAACAAAAATCAATTGTTATCCAGGGTCAACCGATCCAAAATGTCCGAAACCAACAACAGGTCGGCCAATCTGTTATGAAGGCTCCACAGATCCGAGATGCCCGCAACCAACAACAAAAATCAATTGTTATCCAGGGTCAACCGATCCAAAATGTCCGAAACCAACAACAGGTCGGCCAATCTGTTATGAAGGCTCCACAGATCCGAGATGCCCGCAACCAACAACAAAACTCAATTGTTATCCAGGGTCAACCGATCCAAGATGTCCGGAACCAACAACGTCTCGACCAATCTGTTATGAAGGTTCCACAGATCCGAGATGCCCGCAGCCAACTACACAACTTAATTGTTACCCAGGGTCAACTGATCCAAGATGTCCGGAACCAACAACCTCTCGACCAATCTGTTATGAAGGTTCCACAGATCCGAGATGCCCGCAACCAACTACACAACTGAATTGTTACCCAGGATCAACCGATCCAAGATGTCCGAAACCGACAACATCTCAACCAATCTGTTATGAAGGTTCCACAGATCCGAGATGCCCGCAACCAACAACAAAAATCAATTGTTATCCAGGGTCAACCGATCCAAAATGTCCGAAACCAACAACAGGTCGGCCAATCTGTTATGAAGGCTCCACAGATCCGAGATGCCCGCAACCAACAACAAAACTCAATTGTTATCCAGGGTCAACCGATCCAAGATGTCCGGAACCAACAACGTCTCGACCAATCTGTTATGAAGGTTCCGCAGATCCGAGATGCCCGCAACCAACAACAAAACTCAATTGTTATCCAGGGTCAACCGATCCAAGATGTCCGGAACCAACAACCTCTCGACCAATCTGTTATGAAGGTTCCACAGATCCGAGATGCCCGAAACCAACTACACAACTAAATTGTTACCCAGGGTCAACCGATCGAAGATGTCCACAACCAACAACTAAACGCAGCTGTTACCCAGGATCAACTGATCAAAGATGCGCTAAAATAACAACAACACAGCGAACAAGTGCTTACTCGACTTTATCAACAAAAGCCCCAAAATACTTGCCACCTACAACTACTGTCATTACGTCATCAAAACCGAAATGCTATCCAGGATCAGCGGATCCAAATTGTAATGAAATTTTAACTACAAAAATACCATTTTCATGTTACCCTGGTTCAATTGATCCAAACTGCCCGCAATACAATAAAACACCATTTGTTGGACCGACTTATTTACCACCATTTAAAGCATTAGATTTCAATAATATTAATAATAATTTAATAAGTGCTGAAACAACAAATATATTAAATGAAATAAATCAATTAGCATTATCTGATAGTTCCTCAGCTCATAATATCGAGGAGAATAATGAAGATGATAGTGATTACAGAGATGAAAATTTAAATAAAAGAAAGAAACGTAGTTTAAGAGAAAATAAAAATGTAATTAAAAGTGATAACATGAGAACAAATTCTTTAAGCAGTAAATCCAATGATAATAATAACAATATAAACGGACAGAGAAACGAAATTATTTCTATAACATTAAAATTTCAAGGATATAAATTAGAATAAAATACATTTTGTTTACAATATGTATTATTGTATATAAAAACTTACTACATTATTACTTTTATTGTTTTTTGTATTATAAATATTTCTTATTATTTAAAATTTTTTTATTAATTATTTGCATAAGTGTTTTAATTATATTGAATTGCTTATAATATCCATGTGTTAAATATAATATTATGTAGCTGTAAGATTAAAAAATTTTATATAATAATATTTTGTAATCTATGTGTTATTATTTTTCTTAAATTTCTTATATAAATTAATGTATATAATAACTTTACTAGCATGTTCAATATGGATATGCCTCAAATTATGTATATGTATATAAAAGTGATCTTTATTATTATATAGATAAAAATTCAGTAGTTTCAGAGATATTTTTGTTCGATATATTATGTAAAAATTTCATTGATAAAATATTTATATTTCATTTGCATAAATTGCTACAAGAATAGTTCTATGTTGATTTTATATTTATTTGTAATTTGGAATAAAACTACAAAATATTTTGATTTTATTGATTTTCGAAAATTTTTATTTTAATTGATACAAATCTGAATTTTAAAGGAAACAAAAAACTACATACATACCTCGTACTCACCATACTATAATAAGTATTATGCCACGACAATGTAAGTAATGTTTAGAAATAAAATCTTCAAAAATTTCAATTTCCAAATTTATGGAGTGCATTTTGTTTATATTCCGGATAATAACGTATCTGAGAACTCCAGTAAATCTAAATTTATAATTTTTATATGTGTATGAAGGTATTTAATAGGATGATAACCTTTTATAATATAAACAGGTTTCAAAAAAGGAGGGAAGACCAAAAATAAAAATTGATTTTAATAATTTTTTCCCTTACAAAAAATATAAAAATTATTTCATTGTTCTTTAAAACAAAAAAAGAGTTTTTTTGTTTTGAAAAAAAAAAATGTTTTTTTTTTTTTGTTTTGAAGAACAATGAAATCATAATATCCCCCAGTGGGCAGAGCGTTAAATGTGAAAAAGAAGAAGACGATAAGATGGCAACAGCACATACACAAATAAGAAATAAGGATTTACGTGTATGTATTGGAAGGACTTTTCGATATTTTCTTCAACACAAAATCTAAACCAAAAAATAAAAAAAAAGTAATAAGAAAATATTGAAAAACGTCAATACAGTAACAACAAATTAAATTTTAAGTTTGCAACAAATTAAATTTAAATTTAGCATATTTTTAATTAAACAAAAAACAACTTGAAATTCATGTCATATTTTATGTCCTGATAGTATTTTAATAGATTGACCCAGTATATCAAAGATTAACGATTATTATGATCGGGCAAGACATTCGCTTAATTTTTGCAAATCATCGGCAATTTTAAAGAATTTAATGACATTTTAAAAAATTGTTTTCTTCGTCATTCATTTTGCCATATACATACATATGTAAATATCACTTATGACGCATAACTTTAAAAATAAAAAACTAAAATTTATAATCAGTTGCGCTGACAACGTACCATATAATATAAAATGAAATTTGTGATGCACATATACATCATGTCGCGTTGGAATTCATGACGAACACGTCAGTTACACGCATTTGATATACTGGGAAACGGTCATTATTGTTTTACATTGCAGAGTATTTTGAATTTGAAAATTAAAATTTTTAAATATTAAATTAAATTCGATAAATTTTGTTGTCTTGCAATATTATATTAATAAGTTGATGGAATTACCAATTACCGCAATAATATTATATATCAATGAATATAGTTGAAATGTGCTTCTTTACTTGACCATATTTAAATAAAATTCTGAAATCATTAAAATATAAAACAAATTGCTTTTTTTTTTTTATTTAAATTTAATACTAATGTACATATATACATACATGCATGCATATATCGGGGTAGAATTACAAAAAAAAAAAAAAATTATGTTCTCAGTACATAACCGACCGCATTGTATATTGTCTAGTTAAATGAAAGTGTTACAGAATATTATAAAAATGTCTTTTAAATACTTCTTTCCAATTTTTAAGACATTAGTAAGCTTATAGTTAACATGCCTAGAAAAATGTAAATTTGGCTCTTAGAAGAGTTTCGTTTTATGCTACCCGAATTCCCAGAAATGCTCGCTAGTTAATCAGAACTCAAATATTAAATTTCAAGAAATTTCATCAATTCGTTCCGTAGATATGGTGAAAAATGTAAAATCGGGCCGCAAATCAGTTTTCGAGCCCTGATCTTTCCAAAAAATTTATATGTTCATTGTTTTAATACGAGGAATTCAAATATTAAATTTCAATGAAATCACATATAAAATTTCATCAAAATCGGTTTAGCAGAACTTGAGATACACGCGTGCACATACAGACCGACAGGTTGCTAAAAATAGTTTACTTACACTTCCCTACTATGAAGAAGTGCATTCCCACCGAAAACTCGATATGCAAAATTTGTTGCCATCACATAACCTACCTATTGTTTACACAATACAGTCGGTAAAAAAAACTCACAAGTTTATCATTACCAAGTTGTGTAAATTTTTTTTAGCAATTTTTTGCAGTTTGCAATCTATCTATCACATTTTATTAATATAAGACCTAAGTTAGAACTGAATTATAAAAAAATCACCAAAAGTTAAAATGTGATAATTGTTTTTCTGTTTTTTTTCTATGGAATTCTGGTAATACTCCTAAATTAATATACAAACACATATCGTTATATTGGTAATGGAAAATATGAATCCATATATGTATATATATAAGGACACAGAAACACAACAACGAATTCCATTTACTATTTTGGTATATAACAGCGAGGGAGAAAAGAGAAAAATCCATGTGTCAATATACTTTTTTTTTTACTCTGTCCTCTCTCCGTTTTTTCTCCCTCCTTCTTTTTTTTTCGCCATACAAATATATAATAAATAGTTTCACGAAATTAAAATTTTGAGAACCACCCTTTTTCTAAGAAATAAAAATTTTTTTTATGTTTTTTTATACTTTTGAATTTTTTTAAATAAAATTTTTTTTTTTTTTTCTTATGTATAAAATTTTCTAATACTTATATACTCTTGTGATTGTTTCCTCTCTTTTTTTTTATTTTTAACAACGAATAATTATTTTTTTTCTTCTTTTATTTTTTTTTTTCTTTGAAATACATACATATATACTTTTATGTGTAAGAGTGTGTTGTATATGGACAAGGACGAATAAAAAAAAATTTATAGCTGGAAAAGGGATGGATTTTTTTTTCCTTTTATAGAAAAGGCACTGAAAGGAGTTTGAAGATTTTTTATATTGATTTGAAGATTGTGTACTTTATTGCGTCATTTATATTGTTAAGTAAATAGAAAAAAAAATAAGAATAACAAAAAAAAAAAAAGACAGAAAGCAGAAAAAAGCATTATATACATATATAATTAAAATCATGGTGCTGTTTACTGAGTGAAAGTGGTATTGGGTTAAAATTTTTGAAAATTTTATTTGATTAAATGAAGAACAGATTTTTAAGGAAATCGCCTCACATTCAAAATTCATTTACGTATACACGCCGCCATCATCAAACACAAATATCGCAACTGATCAGATATATGACTGATATGAAAAATTTGCATTTCATCATATGATCACAATTAAGTTAAATCAATATATTTGAAACTGTTTTGATTTTCGGAACCCTATATATTTATGCCAACTTGCTAAATTTAAATAATTTCTTGAAATTTAACATGTTAATTTAATAGTTTGTAGTATTATAGAAAATTCTGCGATGTAGTGATTATAGAGGAAGAGGATATAACTGGATCACAATAATTTTGATGTAACTGCCACCGCATCTTTTACAGCTCATATATGAAATTCAAAAAAAATTTTAAACTATATACTTATTATTGTATGTACGAGTACATGTTTAAATACTGTATTATAAAATATTATTAAAAGCAATATTTTCAAATGTACAGGATGAATTAATAAGAACAAATGCATTTTTTTACGATGTTATTAATTATTTTATTGCACCATTTAGTTAAAACTAAAGATTTTTTTCATGCGCATTATAAAAATGTAAGTTAAAAAAAATATTAAAAAGTTTTACGACGTTATAAAAGTTTATTAAATGTATAAATCCGCACTTTAAAATAATTGTTGCAGAAACTTAGCTTGTGTAAGTAGGTGTACAAGTACACAATATTTGAAAGTTTTTACTTTCGAACAACTTACAAGAAAATTTTATTTTGAAATTTCTATATTAAAGCTAAGTGTATAACAATATTTATAGGTAGGTACATGCACGCATGGCTCCATGTAGAGCATTCACAGAAGAAACAGGGAAAACTTTTATTGTAAATCTACTTAGAATATAATTTTATTCGGAGCCGTCGATATTGTGGTTTTAGAATATTTTGCTGTTTTATATAAGTATACAGTCCTTCTTTAAGTAGAAAAAAAGATTTCTCAAAAACTTCTTCCTTTATAAGAATAATTATTAACTAGAATCTTTCAGGGAGACAGAAGCACCTGTCTTTAGTATTTACGTAGTTGATAGATGATTTTTTTAAGTACTTCTTTTCTGAATATTTGTTGGTTTTTTCTTTAACTAAAACACATATACATACGTTATACTTCAAAAACTTAAATAATTAAAAACAAAAATTCGTTGTATATTGAAGCATTTTAAGAAGTTAGCAAATCTTTTCACATAATATAAATATAAATGCGTGTAATTAACGCAGAAACATTTTGGTCATTTAAGTTCATGAATAAAAATAATAAAAAAAACAAAAATATTTCAGTTAATTCTCTTATTTAAGTGTTCATTTCATATGCGTGCACTAATTTCTTTACTGATTTAATTAAGTTTGCAGAAAAATGTACAATTACATTATAACAAGGTTAAGAATGAATTTCACTATATTCATATTCAATCACCGTGGATCTAATAATACAGGGATAGCTGGCAAATAATAATTTTCAAAGCCAACAAAGAAAGGTGCTGCCAGAAACGATTTGAAAGCGTGGTTAGGAAATAT